GTGTCCTCACCGGGACACAAACCGGTGACCTTCTAGCTGCGAGGCAATGGTGCTAACCACCGAGCCACGCTTGTAGCCCACTGGTGTCCAATGTAATGGTAATACATTGTACATGGTAATAATGTAATATGACTTGTTGTCTTGAGCATATAATTGCTTTCTAATTAATACCAGTTAGGAGACCATTACAGTAGGGCTTACTGATTCATCAATTCTAAATCAACAATGCAATCACCAAAAAGCAAGACTGCAGTTTAGCCTGTATCACACTTTTGAAGGAACGCTTCATGATATTTGAAATCTGTTACACAGTAAATATTGACTTGATGCTTGTCAAAAATTATGCGTTTCCCCAAATAGTTCAGCCCTACATTACAGGAATCTAAACTGTGCTGAAATGAAATCATGTGTAATGGAACTGATGTCTCTGAAGCTAAAGAACAAACATCCAAAATGATTATTCAGCACCATTATATAACAACAGGCTTTTGCACAAGAGCCGTATTTCCAAAGATAGTGCTGTGCTCAGTACACATCCTAGAAATATTTTTATGTACCTAACCAGTGTCCTGGGAGTTAAAAACCTCCTTTGTTGAGGTACACCATTATAAACTTACAAAAAATGTGAAAGTCGAACATGACAACGACAGACATGGTGCTAAATATATATAACACAAAATCCAGCACTTGCACTCTTTAATTACACACCAAATACAACTTTTAATAGAGAATAATGAGAAACAGGAATAAGGTTATTGGCCTGACAAATCATTCCTGTCAGTGGTTGTCAATATTCTTAACCACGGTGACATAAACAAATATTTACAGTAAAAAAACAACAACACAGAAATGTTGGGTAATGCTAATATTAGTGAGACTTTGAGGGAATACTTAAGGAAACAACGACTTTTAGCTTAATTAGCTAACAACACAACGGCTACAGCTAGTTAGCCGACATTATGATACGGTTGTCGTAACTATGTATTGTTGCACAGTACCTTCAGGTTCCTCTTTGGCTTTCTATAACGTCAAGAAATGTTTTACGTCTCACCAGTGGCCAGTAGTTGTGTTTATTCAGTAACAAATGTTAACGTTTGCTACCATCTTAGCTAGCGCTATTAGCCTCTAACAGCAACAAATGACAACAGCTTTGTGCACTAAAACATCTAACTAACGCGTCCCGTTTCACCATAAAACAACCTCTGAATACTGTGGACAATCAAATACCTTTTAATGCGAGTAGATGTTCCTGTTTTGCCTGATTTACGTCCATTTTGTTGGAGAAAACAGTCTTATTAGGTTGATGCTAGCCACTGTGCTAGCTGTTTGCTGTGACAAGCTAGCTGATGAACTTTGACCTTACAGACGGCAAGTTTCTTCTTCGTTGTTTTATTTGGGTACTAAGATGTTGTGCTGCCACTCTCAGTCCGGGATGGGTATTACAACAAGGCTTTTTTCTTTTTTTCTTTTTTTCTTTTTTTCTTTTCTTTTCTTTTCTTTTCTTTTCTTTTCTTTTCTTTTCTTTTCTCAAAACACAAAGCTGGAGTAACAGGTACTGCTTTTGCTGTGCTTAAATCTCCTTTTCAGGAGATTTGTCTTGTGAATGGAAAGAATGCAGTTTTTTAGGCACATAATATATGTTTTGTGTGTTTGTGTGTGTGTGTGTGTGTGTGTGTGTGTGTGTGTGTGTGTTCAATTTATTTTGTTACTGCACATTGCTCTTTACACCCAATCTGCATTTAGCTGTTAAATTACGTGGACCTCAAGGGTCAATGTGCTTCCACTGACATCTGGTGGTGTGGACCTGTTTAACATTAGACTGAGGTCACTGCAGCTCCGGTTCATCAGGTTGATTAACAAAAGTAATTATACTGACACGTCTAAGGGGCTACAGTGGTGCAACTGGGATCCAGAAAGCTCAGGCAGATGGAGGTAAAGCACTGCTCATAACACCTCAGAGCTGTCAGCAGCATCTGTTTATCTTTTATTATTTTGTTTATGGCTGGTTGTTGGACATTTTTCTTCTATTTTATGGTCTGTTTTGCATTTATTGTCTATGTTCTGGACACAACTGTAGGCATGATAGAGTTTTTAACATTAGTAATACTAGCCATGTTGAGAAGATGTGGTAAAGTCTGCAGTCACAATAACAACAAACTTTTATCTGCCATTTATTGAAATAACTGCATTCAGCTTTGACAAAACAGAAAATGGCTCCATTAAACGTTGCTTCAATGTAGGTCTTTATCATCCTTAAACACGAACAAATCATACAAAAACTGTATTTCAGTATCAATTTTCCTTTAATTCTGTGGACCACAAGAAACTTACAAATGCTGGAAAATACAGGAATTAAATGTGAAATACAAAGAGACTTTTCTTTTCTAGTTGTCTCAACCAAGCCTCAAATACAATGAAAACCTTGTGGAAAAGAATCAATCAAATTTTAAATAAAATTAAAGTTTTATTATGCTTTGTAAACACTCAAATCACTACAGTTTTCTTCTGGCTGAAATAAAAAACCTGCACCCAGTGGTCTCTCCATGTTGTGGTTTTTATATGCTGTCTTCACTGAGCAGCGGCTGGTAACGAAATGGAAACTAGATTACCATTTAATTAGTACACTTTAGTACAAGTAGAGATGCAGAAAGAACCAGTGATGGAAACTTGAAATACATTAAATTAAACAAAAAAAAATGTCTCCAGCAGTTAATTCATCTACATGTATTTTAGTTCAAACTAAAGAGACAATCTACTCTATTTTTTGGTGGCAGTGATTAACAATAATACAAAGATAATTGTTATTAAATCCATACTCACATAAGCACTTTCCTGTCTCTGAGGCCACCGCCACTCCTTTTTGGATAAGATTCCAAAGACAATCATCCCAAAAGCTAAAATAAAGATGCCGAGTGAATTTGCAAACTTTGCTTCCACAGGCAGTGAGCTGTAAGGGGCGCCCGTGCTTCCATAGCTACAGCAGATGGAGAAATTAGGTTAGTCAGTCTGTTGTTTGCATACATAATATCTTTGGCATTCAAATTTATAGCAGTGCAACAACTCCAGCATCATGATTGTGCTAATGTTGTGTGAGATTATGTGTGATTTGGCTGTTTTTCCTCTTGAAATGAAGACATTGTGCTGGGATCAGCCGGATATTTTGGCACTTACAGAGTGAGGAGCAGTTTCTCATTGATGCCACTGATGCTGGAGGTCAGACTGAGGATTAAGATGGCTTTTCCCAACCAGATATGAACAGGCTTCAGGGCGCTGCGGAGCCTTTGTGTCGAACAAGGAAGCAAGAAGGCAGCCAAGCCGAGGACCCACTATCCATCAGCATGAGGAAATGACAAGAGGGGGAGAGTCTTTACAGTTCCTCAACTGTCTTTATGTCAATAAGAGATAATCATAGATTCAAGGTCTGTGTAAATATTTGTCACTCGCACCTGAAATGCAAACGTAACCACGGTACAGATGCCCACCCAGCTGTGCAGAGAGTACAGGTCACGGATGTGGAAGCCTCTGTGGAAGTCAAACACTGCACACAAGCCCAGGATGGCCAGAAGCAGAGCCAGAAGCATGAGTCCAGCGTGCACCAGCTTCCAGGTGCTCTTCCTCTGCTTCCAGGTGAACGGAACACGATACACAACAGCAGCTGCAGACAGATAAAAAGCTGTGAACAGTGCATCTGTCTGGGTAATAATTTGAGTAACCGCTTGATATTATTGTTACTTGAGAATAATCATTTTTAAAAAGTGAGGTGACATATTTACCATATGCAATAATAACAGAATCCATTAGTTTTAATAAATATAAACACCTCGGTGACAAATTAGGTTACATTACTAAACAAAACATAGATCAGGACCTTTTTCAGAACATTTATTGTGTACCGGGAGTTCAAAATTGCACACAGAAATTGTACTGAAATAAAGCTGTTAATTGAGATTTTTATTCATTTATTTTTCCACCAAGTGTTTAAGAAGTTCTTTGACCATTGAACATGTACTTTTGTTGAGTTGTGGGACTCACAGGAGACAGAATATCAAAATAAAGGTCAAAAAAGACTTTTAGTGAAGGATTATTCTAACAGGTTAAGCTGTGCTCTGTGTGACAAATGAATTGATTTTCAGCACATTTTTACCACATTGTATAACAAAATATGTATTACTATGAAAACCAGCAACTTAACTTATTTTGCTCTTTAATGAACTGTGTGAGAATGGATAGTAAAGACCTGACTGCACTCTGTTTGAGGACAGCTGAGACTATATTGACTTTTCTATTAGACCTAATAACAGAAACCTCTCTCTGCATAACGGGAAAACGTTCAACAGCACAACAACCTACATCCTCCAAAATCCTGAAGTTGAATCAAACCCTCTGTGAGGTTTAAACGAAAGCTTCAGGAAGGTGATTCATTGCAGGGTTGTTTATTAGACCCTCAGTTCAGGACAGGTGTGTCTAATAAAGTGATAAATAACTGTGTTTTTTTTTTAAAAAAAGGCTGACGTTTCCACAGCGCAGTAACTTACCGTTGCCGTACAGAACCACCAGCCCAGACACCATGAGGACAGGATGCCAGTTGAACTGCAGGGCTGAACGATCCCAAGCGAAGCCACCTCTCCAACGGGAGCTCCAGCAGATCACAAAGATCACAGAGAGCAGACTCAGAGCCAGACACAGGCCATAGGAGACAGAAAACAGCATGGACGGCTTCATATCTGTGAGTTTGGGAGGGAAAAATCACAATTTATTATGACATTACCAAAATATAATGAGTTTAAGAGAGTGATTTAATGTAAGAAGAAGGTGAAAGGAGTCTACAGAGCCAGTGGTCTGTTACACAAACAGGCTCCAGCTTCAGTTTGATCTAACTAATGGGAGCTATTTAGTCAAAATGTATTTGCTGCACAAAGTTGTGTAGTGCTTCACTATCTTCAGTAGGACTACTTAGAAATTAATTCTGTGCAAGTTAAGGTATCTTTTTTTCACAACTGTAGAACATTTCTGTCCATAACACCCACACGGAGCCTCAGCTCTCCTCACTGCAGCAGGAAGCATCTGCCTCTTTGGAGAAGCTAACACTTATCAATATATTTTGTTGGAAAAGTTAAGTGAAGAATGTAAAAGTGCAAAAAAAAAAAAGATTTGGAAAGACGATGTAACAACAGCTCATTGACCCTCCACAATATGATCTGCAAACCTCAAGTGATGAGTTTTTCTGCTTTTGCCAGTCGGTGTCACTGAGTGTTACCATGGAAACAGGTCTGAGGTCATTGTTGGCCTAAGGGCCGGGTGGTAAACTGTTCAGGCTGAAAATAAGTCCGTCTCTGCTTTTTTTTTTTTAACTGCTGAGCTTGCACTAGACTTATTGGAGAGAAAATGTTAGACTTGTGCAACCCTGTGGATCAGTTTGACATGTTTTATTTATCAGCCTCAGATTACAGAAAAAATTAACAAGTAATAATTTACCAAAAGTAAAAAAATCCTGTTTTAAAAAACTGTATTTCAGCGTAAAAGTGCAGCAGAATGGTCACCTTGATAGTGATATACAGAGATTATAGAAGGTATAATTAAAGGCTGGTCACTGAGGCAGCAGTTTGTGTCCAGGTTAGAGAGGAGAGACGTGGTGTAGCTCTTCCTGGACACTAACGGGGGTTGATCAACCCTGGCTGGGTCTTCTGGGGGACAGTGTCTGATGTTTAGAGAAAGACCCAGTGATGCCAGGAAACATCACACATGAAATATCAAGCCACATCAAAATGATGGCGTTAAAAGTTACTGGATTACTGTGACTACTGCACGTATAAGCAGGATTACACCAATAAAGTTGCTGATTTAAACTGCTTTGTAAACTGTTGGACAGTTTGTTTTATCAGTTGGGTTTATTTAAGACAAATGCAATAAATGAAAAAATAAAAACAATCTTTCAGTGCAGTATTATAACCAGAACTATTCATTCAGATCAACCTAAGAACAAAAGACAGCGAGAATAAAGTGCTTCACTGAAGTAGACTAATGATTTATTTTTCTTTTCTTACATGCTTTGATGAATGAAGTGCTAAGCCTCTATTTACGAGTATTTATAAAGAACTAGATTTCTGCAGGGAATAGATGCATCATTTAAAATGTGATTATATGTTTTATATATTTTTTAAAAACATCATAATTAATGAAGAAACTAATAACTAATGCATCTCCCTCTGAATGGTAGTAAAGTTGCAATATAAAGAGGTATTAAATGGAAACACTCAAGTGTACAATTATCGCAGAATTATACCTGAGCTCAGTATTAAAACGATCCTTTATGTGCTTCCACTGCAACAGACGCACACAAAAATCTTTTGAAACACTGTTTGGTGATTATTTTTGAAAACAAGCTGCTTGATTTGTGCTCACCTGTCGAGTGCTCTTCTCCCTGATGTGAGTCCTTCTTCTTTCTACCTCAAAACGTTGGCCTGTTTTTCTCGCTTCTACTTCACATCCATTCTTTTGTGAGAGATCTTAGACGGTTAGAGCTCACCAGGAAAGGTTTCTGATGTTAAATAAGCCTGCTGGTGGAGGAAGAAATGGATTTACTGGGATGGGGCCTGTTTAGTTGTGCGGCTGTGATGAAAACAAGAGGACAATTGTCTTCACTGTATGGTATTGTATTAGTTATGATGTGTGAGGTTTTATAACTGACTTTTTGATTGGTCATGTAGATTTGCTATGGACTCTGGTTCTCATATCTATTACTCAATAACTTAAATGTAACTGAATTAATGTTTGTAAGTAATGGCAAGCTTACCCAAAATATTCCAAAACTTAATTAGAACTAAAATCATATTAAACACTACCATAAAACTTGAGTCCATATTTCTTTTACTTTTACACTGGCTTCAAATGCAAACCATAGTTAGAGAGCGAGAGGAAAAAAAGAAAAATTTGGCAGCCGGGTGAACAAAAAAAAAAATGGAAAAAAAAAAAAAAAAAACAACCCAATAAAAAAAAAAAAAACACCATTCCACCACTTCTAATAATCAAAATACAAGCCCTAACCTTACATGAACAAGATATATATTTATTTGCTTTTTAATGTTTAATAATGGATTTTTCCAAAATAACATTTAAAAGCAATGAAATTAGCTCAGATATAAATAATGTTAGAATACAAAAAATCAGGCTTTATACTGCAGAAAAATGCTGTTATGTGTACAGTTCTATGATATAATTTTATGTAAAAAAAAATCTAGTGAAAAAATTATCAAAATATCTTGTAAAATTAGTAATTCATTTCAAAACTAATTTTTTAAATTTTCATTTTACTTGTAATTCTGTCTCATATCAAGTGTCGTATGAATCTTTACATGTAGATACATTCACATACATACATGATCTTTATTGTTAAAGAGTATGTTCACCTGTAAAATGAACAGATTCACCTTTGAAAAAATGTTTCAATCATGTTTAATAAGCAAATACTTTTGATTATATTTACAATAACAAACTGCTGTTAGTTTTTACGCACAACCTAACATGTTATTTTACATCTGACATATAAATTCTTTGTCTGTTGTTGTCTTTTCACTGGTATTTTTGGGAGTAAAATCAAAAGGAAAAATTTTATAAAATATAAGAAAGGACAAAGGTAATTATAAATTACATTTGTTTTTACTATGTAGTGTTAAACTACACACACACACACACAGTATATATATATATAATGCTATTGGTCTCTCTTAAGCTCATTTTATGATCCAAATATGTGATAAAATTGACAATTACTGAATTAAAGATGCAACAATCGTAGGAATTTATTCAAGTTGATTTATGGATGAAGTGTAGCAACCCCAGTAACCTCAATCTAACTTGTTTGCTATCTTTCTTTAAAGCTCATCTGACTTTCATGTTTTTTTGAGCCTGAACCCGTTGACTGAGCCACAAAGTGAAGCGTTGCAAAGAACAACTTTTTTTCCCTTTTCTTTTTCACAACAACCATGTGGCTGACTTCTACCATGTCATTTAATTTAGCACACAATTCAAAATGAATAAAGCCTTCACAGTTCAGCGACAAACCGGACATGTGGACTGAAGCAGATGATCACAGCGACACAGACAGAGTGTCACCAAATGAATGTGTAATCTCATTTTACCTCGTAATGACAAATGCAAAGGGACCGTGAAGGTGAGATCCTTTTATTGGAGTCATCACAAGAGATATGTTAAAAGTGCAATGAATTCTATCAGTTGAAAATGTTTCAGGTAATTTTCTCCTGACAACAAAAAACTGCTCTCCTTTTTTCATTATCTATATGTGAGCAAACAGCAGTGAATGGATGCAGAGTGTTGTCACTACACCTCGTAGAGCAGCACAGTGACTGGAGCACTCAAGGCCATGTTGTGGAGGATTTGTTTGCAGCAAATGTTTTCATTGTCTTCATCCTCTACAAAGACGGACAGAAAGTGCTGAGGCTCCCAGGACACTTCCTGAGTCTGAGAGGCCAACACACGGACACAGTCCACGTCTTTCCTGAAGCTGAACTTTTTACCTCCGGGAAGCACAGACAAGATCTTATCATCACCGCCAGACTGGGAAGTGATGAAGGCGTCAATCTCCAGAGCCTTTTCCGTGACGAAAACTCGGACATTCTTGCTGCTGTAGTTGCTCATCTGACATGCAGTGCTGGTGTTGCCCATGTTGCTCCGTGTGATGTGACAGGTAGGATCAGGTCAGGACTGCAGATCTCACCGGAGGCTGTTATTTTAAGATAAACAGTCATGTTCCTCATAAACGGGGCTGAAGTTTGTGAACATATTCAAGTTTTTAAATCCTACATACTGGGCAAATATACACTTTTATGCATCCCAAAAAAAAAGGAAACAGAACTATTCATTTTATTTCATCTTCAAATTATCATTCTTTGTTGCACAACACAGCATCAAGAACATGTCGTCTGCATTCGACTGAGGACACCCTGCGAGGATGTGACAACTAAAGGCTTTGAATCCTTAAATTTAATTCTGTCTGACATGACAGCTGTGAGTGTTTTGAAGAACAACTGTGACATTAACAACACAAAGGAACACAACGTCTTCATTCTGGTGAATTATTAATACTAAACTGGCACAAAAAGACTTTTACAAATGCACACGTTGTTTAAGCAATTTAAAGCATACATTCCAATAATTACATCTTTGAGAGAACAAAATAAGCTATTCTTTGCTGTACATACAAGGAAAAACATGCACGGATAATTTGTGTTGAACATGGATCAGGTAATTTTAAAAATAAGGCTGTTGTCTGTATCAAAGAGACAGAATTTTTACCTGCTGATTCAGTGACGGCAAGGTGACAGTGATGCACTGTCGCTGTCTTCCTCGTCTGAACAGTGAGAGTCTCATGAACAACAGCTCATAATATGCAAAAACTAAAGGACAGCCAGCACAGAGCAACATACTGTATGCAGTCAAGTCAAATTCTTTCTGTGGAAAGATATTAATATGAATTGACACCCTTAACCATTATATATGATCAGAATGAGGGCACCTAGTTTGAAAAGGTGGCAATACACCAGTAATAATAAAAATAAAACCATGTCAATAATACACAGACGATAACGTGAATATTCCAGTGTCTGTAACTATCTGGTTGATACCTGAACATAGAAACAACATGCAAGACAGTTATAGCTCCAGATTCTCTTCCTATACTTGTATTTGCCCAAAAGAGTCAAAACACACAACAAACAAAGCTCATTTTCCTTTGACATTGTGAAAATATCTTCATCTTAAATTCTTTTGGTGTAGTGAAAATCTGCTCAGTTTCTGTGAGCCGTTTTGTCTGATCCAGGTGTGTCTGTACATGAAGTCACCTGCAAGAGGCGGGTAGCGGCACAGAATTCCTCAAACAGCTGAAACATTTGGTTTTAGAAAATGCCACTCAAACAGGAATAAATAATGAGGTACCCTACCAAAGGGATCAATAAAGTTATATCTAATCTGATCTAATCCACCCACCTGAACATTTTAGACCAAGCACACCCCCTTGTGGCAACAGCACTCCCTGCAACAGGAGGGTACAACACAGCGCTGCTCAGGAATGGCTCAAGGAACACGACAATGAGTTTGATTCTATCAAGCATCAGTGATAAAACAATCCATGGAGGCTCCAATCTGCAACCCGTAGAGACCAAAGGATCTGCTGCCAACATCCTGTTGCCAAACATCACAGGACACCCAGAGAGCTGTTTTGGCAGCATGAGAGGAACCTGCACGATATTAGGCAGGTGGATTTAATGTTGTGGCTGATGAGTGTAGTTTTGGGACAGTGATGTAGTCCAGAGGGGCAGAGGAAAACTTTTCATCAGGTCTTGGATGCAGACACAGTACACAGTAAGATCACTTAAAATATGGAATATTAACAGACTTATCCTCTAAATCACACTAAAATGTGACGTGGTGACGGTGTAATAGGAGTAGTACTACAAAATAACCCACTGGGTAACTCATTGCATTTCTCTTTTAGGTTTAGCCTCGTCAGAGTGATGGAAAGTCACCTCGTTGTCATTAGAAACTCTTGCTCGATAGAGCAGGGCCTTTATTTGCTGCGTGATTTCCATATTCAAAGTGGGAAAATGCAGTAAAGATAAAAGCATTACTGTTGAGTTTATGCTTCCTTCCTGTACTTATTCTCAACACAATGAGGCCGTGGCTGCTGCTCGTGTCTCTGCTTGTGTCTGACCTGAGCCCTCTTGCAGACGGGGACTGGGATAAGGATTACTTCAGCTGGACGTTATGCAGAAAACTGCTCCTCAGTGGAAAGATGACTCTCAGAGGATGGAAGAAAAGTCTGACTCAAACTGAGTACAAATGCATGTGTTTCCAGAGAGACTGTGTGCATGTTGCTGTGCAGCACGAGCAAACTGAGCTTTACTGGGAATGCAGGGTCCATAATGAACGTGGGCACACTTTGTCTCAGAAGGATTTGACAGGAATAATCTATAGGAGTCACATTCCAGCCTTGGTATGCTCATTTCATTCAGTAAAAAAAAAAAAAAAAAAATCCAAAAACTATCCAGTTTATGTATTTATATTGTCTATTCTATTGCCAGTATAATCCATCTCTTCCAAGAACTGACGTGCCTGCTATTTACTTTAACTGATTACATTTTCTGTTTTGCGGCGCCTTGCTGCCGTGTGCATGAATTGTCAGTAAACCAGGTGTGATTGTCACATTTTGCAAGGCAGCCAGGCGTCCCTCACATTACACCACCTGAAAGCATGAAGCTGATCATTACTCAGTCACAACCTTGTTTATTATTTATTTCGTACTGATTTCACACTGCTGATAATAAGCATATTTGACATGCAGCACGTGTTTTGCACAGGTTCGGAATACTTACTAATATGCTGATGCTTTTCTCTCACTTTCTCACCATATTTTTTGATGGAATTTAAT